TCAAAGTGAACATGATTTTTAATTTTGTAAGTATTTAGTGAGTACAAAATTTGTACACTTTTAATGTGTCCTGTTGTTGATTTATGATATTGTTGATTACTTCGAAATCGATTTTTCTCGAAATATGCTTGGTGTCAGTCAGTGTGCAACTATAAAGTCTCTAGGCTACAGAACTACAGCTAACATCATCTTTATTGAGTAATTTCAACACTTGTAAACTTATGTTACAGCTGGGGGGGGTGTAAGACCTAATCCTTACTTAAGAGTATTAACTAATTTCACATGCAAATCACTCAAGTTCAGTTTGTCGAAGTTTCGAGGAACCTCACAAAGGTTAAACTTGACACGAATGAAATGGCAGGTTTTCGTTACGTGTAACGTTAAAGTTCTGTTTTACCAAGATTCTTCGTACTAACCGTAATTTAAAGCGTTTCAGGAGGTCAAGAAATATATCACATAAAACAGAGAACTACGCTCTTCCACTTTCCGGCCATTGTCCACTTATCCTCACGCCGTCGCCCACTGTGTCCTCTCAGCGGGCGGTGCCCGGAGCCGTTCTTAAAGGCGGGCGAGGAAAGAAGACGTAGGAAGGAGAGAGACAGAAAAAAAACGCCGCGGCGAACTTTGGAAAGTTGAGAATGGCCCGGGCCCTGGCTATACATATGTTATGTATAGCGGCGCTTCTCGGGCCTCCGCGCCGCCCCGGTTAAGTGCTAACTTGCAGGCTAACTGCCGCGTTTTAAATCGTTCTATTTTATACGGGACGGCGGCCGTTTAAATCCGGTAATTTTCTCCCTATTGAAGGTGATGATATATACACGCGGCGGGGCGGGCGGCTGCGCGGCCGACGCGGCGTGCCGGGCCTTTAAGCGACGGGCGGCGGAGGCGAAATTTTGAGGAACGTTTATGTGTGGGCAATCCCGCGCTGATCCGGGCCATCCTCTTTATGCTCGCACACGTTTCCGGGCCATGCGTCGGCGAAGGCGGTCCGCGAGCTCCGGCGATGCTGGGGGAAAGCTGATCCGTGCCGCAGATCGCCTTCGACGCCATCTCGCCCCGGGCGGCTGACACTCCCCCCCCCCCATCCGCCCACGCGCGGTCCCCGTGGATATTTTTGAATCTCGCAGTTCGGGTTGAAACATTGCACCTGCTGCTCGCAGCTTTTTCCGATATTACAAATGCACTTCTTTTCAAATTGTTGTAAATCGTGTTTGGGAATTCAGGTGATTCAAATGATCGATTTGTCTAGAAGTGATTTAAAATTAACTTTTATTCAATTTATTTATCTTCAAAAAGAACAGTAAATTTGACATTTGACATGTAGGAAAAAATTATATGCACACATTTTCTTGAGTATATGTAGTTGAGAAAGAATATGCTTTTTCTTTGGCCTTCATTTTACGCAGCTGTTCTTGTTTCTTCCCCCTTCTCCTCCTTTTTCCTCGCTTCCTTCTCCTCATTGCTCTCCTTCTCATTCTCCTTCTTCGCCTTCTTGTTCCTCTTCATCAACATCATCACATTATATCACCCAAATGTCTCATTCCTGACACTTCAGTAGTGAATGTACGCCTCGTCTTAAATACAGATTCGTAATAGCTAATATAACAGTGCTATGTTTGTTTGTATTTAGTGTTCTTAAACGTCAAGTTAGAATAAGTAAAAACCAAACATCTGAAAAAAGTTCGTAATACAGTTTCGTATTTTGCACGATAATGATTTACTTTGCTGGCAAAATATATTTACGTATAAATTGCACCACCACAAAAAGGAAATGAACACTTTTAACTTTTTTAAATATAAAAGGTTCTCCCCTGAAAAAGGCTTTTCACTGAAACATATGTCACAAACCCATATTCAATTCAGTTTTCCTAGAACACACAAACCACAAGCGTTTCCTGACAGCGTAATTTCGTAAAAATATCTTACTAATTGGAAATGTGAAAAAACACAAGGTGAATAATTCCTATAAGTCAGACAATCATTTCAAACGACGTAATTTTCCAATAAAGGGGGAAGAAACGCAATTGATTTCAACGGTCGGACATATGATAGACATGTAATTTCGTCTGGGAAGCAAACAAAATAGAAGAACAGGTCGATCATTTAATGTACACCTGCAATATTTCGCGTAGTCATGGAGTTATTACGACAAACCTGTCACCCATCAACTCTCAAACCAGGCTTTGATTTATCTCTTTGTATCAATGCTAGTACAAAGACCGGAAATCAAATTCATCATAGTAAATTGTTTACTAATGATACTGTCTAGGCTTTTCAAAATTAGAACATCGCTGAACCGACTAAAAGAGGGAAATATTCACTCAGATAATATTAAATCCGTAATTGTCGTGCAATTTGTTTTTGTTGGTAATGTTCTTTTTATTTTGTGAATGTACAGTATTTGTTATCACAATAAATTTTATTTGAATTCTGTAATGAGAAAGTTGTTTTAATAAATACGAATATTTTTGTTTGAATCTAACGAAAATAGTAATTTCAAAATAGTTATTTTCATATTAAGTGTGGAATGTTTCCGTTTATTTCACGTTTGATATTGAGAATCTTAGTCGAGACCGTAGGTCGAGGCAAAAATATCAATTATGACCACGAAAAAAATTGAAACTTCACATACAAAATAGGAGCATTCTTTATACAACTGCATAAAATATATTACACAAGGTTTTGTAATATTGTTTTGGGAAATAAAGCCTGATACCCAGGACAATATAGAAATGCATTTCATAGGGTCATGGTTAGAGATGAGTATTCTGTAATAAAAGTATGCAAAAAAGAATTTTTGACGGTAACAAGATAGTAGTCTTGGCAACAATTTTGTTTGAATGGATATTAAAAAATGACGAGCTTCACGTACGGCTAGTAATGCACAGAAGTTGCCATTTGTATGCACCTGTAGAAAAAATGGTTTTATTAGCTTCATTTCAGAATATTTGTTACATACTTTTCTGACATTGTGCTATAGTAAATTAATTTTATTTATATATATATATATATATATATATATATATATATATATATATATATATATATATATATATACACAGAGCGTAATTAAGTATTTCGGATAACGACACCGGCTTTCTTTCATTTCACTTTTCCGTATGCGCACATATATACAGCATTTAGCACATCCGTCCGTTCATCCGTCCGTCTGTCTCACTGGTGTATGTGAACAACACTTGCGCCTATACCATCGCCCAGAATTTGTTTGCAAATTGAAGAAATCCCAGTCCATTTGACGTGGGTTAAATCTTGGCGATTTCGAAAATCATTAATAAGTTTAAAAATCATTTTAGCCCCTGGGACATTTTCAAAATTTTCTCAAAAACTGTTCCAATTTGTCCTTTAAATTTTTTGTAAGAATAGAATTGAATACCTTATAAAGGTGGCATATGTCCAATTATCACGGTTAACTCTAAATATTTGAAAATTTCAAACGTTTGATTTTTTTGGTGTCTTCCTACAATAACAAAATTAAAGATAGAGATTTTTCTTTCAAATTAAATATGTTGTCAATAACTTGTTCTTTCATTAAAGTCATGGACATTTTTGAAAATGTTTGTAGTTTTCCCGCAATTTGTGCAATTAAAAAAATTGCACGCATAAGATTTTCTCCAAAACCGCTCCAAATGTTTTCAAGTCAAAAAAATACATTTTTGTTATTTTTGAAAAAAAAAGTATAGAGCAACATAGCGTTCATGTCACTTATAGAGTGCATTTAGCACAATCCCTCTCAAAAATTTAAACTCTCACGACGTAAATATTTACATTAGCGGCAATTTGTTTGGAATAGTATATTTATGAGTACATGCGCTTTAATTAATGTCATATAAAGCTTTTCAAAAACTCAAACGTTTTCTGTCAAAACTAGCGAAAAATTTCACAATTTCAGAAAAACATAAACGCCATTTTTTCAAAAACTTATCCACATTTTTCTACAAACTTTTCGAAAGAATAGTGCTAACTGCATTCTTCATTATGATGTTAAGTTCATTTCGGATTATTTACTTGGTTTTTCAAAAATTACACAAATGTAATGTTTTGAACGATCTCTCAGGCTGTTAATAGGTACATTTTTTGCAATCTGTAAACACTATTGTATTTGTGTGTTAAAGTAGTTTAAATGACTTCAATTGAAGTTTTTGGAAAACTCAAAAATTCTTCGTAAAAAGATCTTCAAATTTCGAATTTATAGTAGCGCTTATACGCCAGTTTTTTTCAAAACGGCTCCAAGTTTCTCAAAGAAAATTGCCACTGAGGACGAGGTTTCACTGTTCTTAAATAATGTTAAAATAATATTTCTGTTCTACAATTAGGAAACCGATATATTGAGAAAATTTCAAAATAAATGTACTTTGGGCGGCGATAGAAAGCAGTAGACAACAATTTAAGCAAGTTCGAATACCTAACCGAGACCAAAGCAAATAGAACGGGAAGTCTCTGCCGTTCTGTAGCACTATTAATTTTCTTTTCACAATAGGTAGGAATACAACGTGATGTGAATAAAACACACGACATAAGCTCCGTCTCAAGATAAATATTTGAAATGTTGAATTCCTTCATCTTACAAATGTCTGCCGAGAATTTCAAATATGAAACGATACTTATTTACTAGGCTGTGCGGGTGACGCTGCGTCCACAGCGAAGGTGCCGACGTTTTGCTCGCCATTCTGCGACCTTCCTCAGGGCGTATTGCAATTGCGGCCGAAGCGTCGGTACCTTCGCCATGGATGCGGCGTCACCCGGACAGCCAAGTAAATACTGATTCCGGCCGCGGAAGCCTACGCTCTCACATGAAACGATACTACACTTTACATTGTCTTTATAATGTTTTTCTATTTAATTGAATTTGATGCGTCGATTTATACATTGCGATTGATTTATATATCGCGATATAAGGCGATTGTATGGTTTAACGCATGTGTGCTTGTGCCGTATGACCTAGATTTCAGTGCGTTGCGTGTGCGTGTTCGTGTTCGCAGTGCCGCCCAACATCCTGGACGAGGCGAGCACGCAGTCGTCGGTGGCGGTGCGCGAGAACCAGAACGTGACGCTGACCTGCCGCGCCGACGGCTTCCCCAGCCCCAAGATCATGTGGCGGCGCGAGGACGGCCAGGGCATCGCCGTCGACCGCCGCAAGAAGGGTGAGTCTGGTACGTCTCTCCCTCCCCTGGCGCACGGCGCGGCTCGCATCGCAGCCGGCTCGTTACGACAGAGCCTTTATTTGTGTATTACACTCTTTCTGAACCTTAACTGTACAATAGGGTAATGCAATTAAAGCCAGCTCATTACGACAGTGTTGAGTTGTTTCTTAAACTTAACTGGTACAATAGGGTCTGCCAATTTCTGTAAAATTTTGTGCGATATTTTGGTCAATATTTTCTGCGTTTTCGTGTGGAACCGAAGTTAACTCTTATTTCAAATTTACCTTCAAAGTTAATTCCTAAAGAGTATAACAAATACCCAAATATCCAAAACTTATAATAATAAACTAGTGATATCCCAAACTCGTAACGATTATTGATTTTTGCAATAAGATGAACCTATTATTTTTGTATGACCAGTTCTCATCATGTGACGATTTTTGAGTAAAATGTAACATTTTAATCACATCGAAAGAAGTGAATTCAATGAAAAACGTGTTTTTACTTATCAGAAGAAAGACATTTCCATAGCGCATTTTGGTTCTCTGATCACGTCATTGCGCAAGCATAGAAGTGCACAAACTTTATGAGATGTTATTTGTTTATTATTCGGATCAATATCATCATAATTAGTCATGTAATACATCATTCACAGGAGGATTAAACTTGTCTAAACGCTTTTCATTTCCACTAAAAACCTATTTTCCCGGACCGGATTCATCACGCAGACGACCACATCTATCATCACCGAATTCTGTTAAAATTATACATCACGTTACACTCTAATTACACTCTAATTACACTCTAACACACACGCGCACTGCAGAAAAAAATGTATTTAAGGTCACAGAAAAGCGTATATGGTTCACAAAGTTCCAAGAAAAAGAATGCTGCTAACGCAACTAGTTCGATACTTCTACGAGACCCCTGCGAAAATACAATTGGTTATCATTCGAAGAATATGGGCCCCTCTAATATGCCACTTTCTGTGAATACTGATAAACACTCTAAGGTAGACGAGACGGCTCATTTCAGTTTCCAAAAATAGTTCTGCGGGAAAAAAAAGCAATCACGAGGGAATCGTAAACTCCATTGTACCAGTTAAGAGTTAAGTGCATGAAGTGTGAATATTTCATGGTCGGGATTGGTATTTCCATGCTTGAAGTTCTTTTCCTCACGGTAACAAGGCTGTAGTGGTCTTGGAAGCTGTATTTTTTGAAGAATATTAATAAATAACATTTCAGAATCCGCTTTTTTATTAAATTGTAGAAACAGTCTTTTGGAAATCAAAATAATTTTCAGCAATGTAGGATCCTGTGTTTCTGGCGTTTTAAATCGAAAACGGTGCCAATAATGTTATTTTTCTAAGTCTGAAAAATTGTATAATGTATTCAGTCAATGTTGACGACATAGTTCTTTATTATTTCTCAAAAACCCACAATCAAGTTATTGCAATAGAAATCGTCCTGGCGTTCCGTATTGTAATAACAAAACCTTCATCGCTTCGTGCGTCACGTGTCGTACAAGAAATGATTTTACTACAATTGTAGATAACTTAATATGCCAAAAATTTAATATCAGATTTTTAATAATCAGAATTGTTTTTAACAATGGAGTGACCTATGTTTGTTGTAGCGAACTTTGTATTAGTAAAAAATAATGACAATGTTCTCATAATCAATTATTATTATCGATATAGGATGGCGTTGATTTTTCCGGGTTTATTAGACCGAATACAATTGTGTACTAAGATGGCAAAATTTTAAATGTTGCTTTTTAAAAAAAATCCATGACAGCAATTTTAAGCATCAAAAGTCATGAAAAATTACTCTGTGGCTTTTGTCTTAATTGCAATTTCTTACCATTGTTTTTTTCAAAAACTACAAGAGAAATGCACCTTTTGTCTATTTCTAAACATTAAAAAACAAGAGTGACCTATGTAATTTTGTGTCTCGTGTCATGAAAATGTGACTTATATCAATTTTCAATCTTAGCACAGAATTATTCATTTTGACTCCGTCCGTGAGAACCTTCAATGGCATTGTTTTTCAATTTTTATACATAAAAATTACTGCCCATCAGGTTATTTTAATATCAACCGGGCTGACGATCGCCTGTGCCACCCGCACTCATCAGAAAATGTAGACTCAGTCCTCCGTGATTACGCGGTAGGAAGGTGTCGATTTTTCTGAACATTAGTGGGACGACGTTTGTGAAGCAGATTTAATTTTATTTCTCTTCGCCTTATCATTCATTATTAGAGAAGTGGAAATGCTCCCAATTACTCCGTAGGTCAGGGGAGGCGCCACGTGTTCGCCCAACATTGAACGCACTCTTACGTGGGAAGAATGGCGGAGGCAATTGTTTTTATGTCACGTTCTATGTTCACTAGTTCTTGTATGGTAAAAGTAGAATGTTCGTGCCAGTCGCTAGTCATACATCTACACACCATCTACAGAAAAGTATTAACAATAACTGCTTGTAAACCTGAGAGGAGCATTTAAATAATTACTTGTAAATAGTTAAAAGAGAAATATAGAATACTTGCTTTAGAAAAACAATTTTTACTAATACACTTAGTATCTCGCATGATTTTTCATTATCATAAGTTATCAATACCTAATAGAGGTTAGGTTGACATCGGCCCTCGTACTTTTCTTTCTATCTGCGTTGAATATTTGTCCACATTCTGTACAATGAAATTGAATTATCGTCAAATAGTGTGTGGTTTAAAATTTTAAGTTAGGGTGGTTTTATCTTGTACCCCAGGAGAAACGGTTATGCCAATTGCACTATTCGTGCAGCATAACTCCTAGGCGAGAGCCAATTCTTCCGGTTACGGTGAATTTTGCACAATTTTTTTGTTACAATTACTCCTTAGCATGACCGGTGACTTATGCTACATTTAATGCTGTCAGAGTTCTAAAAACATACCTACATATTGAATAAAAGATAAAAGTACTTTCACCGTATAACATCTTCAATAGTGTAACAAAGCTGTGCCTGCAAAAGATTTTCCATAAGAGCCTGTATTAATTTAAACTTATTTCATTCAAAATTTGGCTGGTAAAGGCCAATATCTACCTAACCACCTTAAAGAATATTCATTTTGATTTCATTTAAAGTATTTTGGGGGGTACTTCACGGTGGTCATCTAACAACCATCTACGTTAAGAGTCCTTTACGTAACTAGTACAGTGATTCTTTGGAGTACGAATAAAATATTGACGGACAAGGGGACTAAGGAGACGATTTAGAGCTATTTTTGGTGTAAATTATCTGTCAACATGGCTGGCAGTGACATTGATTCATTTTGCCCTATTACTTTGCTTACAGTACTGTAGAGTTTTTTCACAATGCTCGAAATTCACTACAGTATGCGTCCGACAAAGTCATTTTGTGTCATGCATATTGCAAAGTAAACACTTTCTGATTAATAAATAGAAAATGTTATGTTCTAGTTTGCATGCTAAACTTATTAAAATGACGTTTTGTTTTGAAAATATCAGAAACATTTCTGATTACTAATGAGATCTGTGCTGTAAATATTTATTTGAAGTCGATGTAAGCTTGTTAGTCGCTTTAATACAACACAAGAAAGTACATCTCGCCAAGAAAGTCTTTTTGCAGAAGCACCTTGCTATAGTGCAAGATAAATTATGTTGCTAGCACCCTCTGCAGATTGTAACAAAATAAAACGTAAATTGCATACTCACCAAAATCATAATAGACTCTAGAAGTGTTGTCCTTCAATTTTTTTCCAGTCATCTGGTTGCTACCATCATAAATGCAATTTGTAATAGGAGGCTCGGAATTGGCTGAGTGCGGAGAGACTTTCCTTCCGCACTGAACAATTATTCAATTCCAAAACGGAAAATTTGAGATGAAAATGTGGTATGCTAATCAGAGGAAGTCATCGTAACACAGTGTGTACTCGAGTACACCCAAACTCTTACGGCTAATACACTGAAAAGTGCGATGAAAATATTATACACGAATACTAATCATACGTGTGAAGTCATAGTAATGCAAAGTGTTCGGGAGTATATCCAAACTCTTGCGGTTAGCTTTACTGAAAAGGTGACGAAGCAACTCATTCCATTTTACATAAAGAAACCCTTCACGCCAATTTGCTCAAGTGTAATTCATTTGTTGCACACTGAATTAGCTGCAAATAGAAATTAATGAGTCTGCCTTTCCTGTGAGTATAATTAATATTAATTGCTGTGGCAATAAAACAGGTAACATACCTACTTAACCCCTCAAAGTTCAAGTACTAACTTTAAAAACGTTTTCAATTAGCCAGTTTAATAATACATTACATGCATATTATCAATATTTTTCTAAAAGTGGTTAAAATATTTCATATCATATTTTGCTCAAAAGTATACTTAAAGAAAATAAATTAATTTGATAAATATTTATTGCTCAAGAACCTAGTTATTGATTATTAGTTAGAATGCTGTGCCAACTTTTAGAACATATTGTACGCATTCTAATATATAAGATAAACATAATGAAACTGCAAATAACGTAAAATGTTATATTATAACTAGCAGTCACTTGATTATTTTAAGTAAATTAATTTTAATGCAATGTGTGCATTTGAAGCCTTCCTAAAAAGAGAAGAAAATAAATTACAGAAAACCCGGTTCTATTCTTGGCTCGACGGCAGATGTGGGGCATTGCCGACGAGCGTCTCGACCATGGGATAAGGGGTTCGTGTGATTAGCACGAAGACATCCCTCCGCCGTATACACTGGTCTTCTTAACCTTAGGGTGGGCTTTCTCATAGTCACACAGCAATAGATACTGGTACACTTGTAAGAAAAACGACCAGTTATAATTTTGCCCCGGCCATGAATCGAACCCGGGATTAACGAAAGAAATTTTTTCAATGTTTATTTTTTTCCTTCTCCCCATAATTCTGCAATTGTGGTCCTGACGACTATTGTATGATGATTTTAAGAGTCGCTTCTGAATATCCTTCAAAGCTGGTT